ATTCTAAAACCATAAACCGTAAACCCTAACTCCTAAACCCTCTTAAGCCCTTAAGCCCTTATGCCCTTCAACCCGAGAACCATCAACCCCAAAGCGTGGAACCGCAGTAGCCAAAAAATCTCCGAACAAATCTGGTATAAGAAGTATTTTATAATAGTATACTCTCCCAAATATTAACCTACATAACTAGTAGCATAAACCCAAGCACCCTAGTATTGGGTCCTTTGGACCCTTCGGCTAGTGTTGAACGGTTAGACTGAACAATCACGAACTTATGAGGCCTGTCTCTAACTCTAGAAGTCTCTTGAAATGTCTGTTGCAATAGGGTTGTCGGTGCATAATATGTTTTATCGTTTTGGGACGATCAGGGAATAGTGCGACTATGTATTCAGATCTCTATATTGAGGCGCTCAGAAAGGGTGCCAGCTTTGAGAACCACCAACGGCCCGCGTAAACCCAAACCATTTATCGGGCCACAAACCTGAACCTGAAACCCAAACCCCAAAGAAACCCTAAACCCCAACAGGGTTTCAGGTTTAGGCTTTAGGCCCTAAACAGCCCTTTTCCCAGCGCACGGTTTGCTGCTGGCTCGACGGCAGCAACTCGTAGCTGCGATCCTCTGACGGAAGTGGTTTGCTGCGTCGCGGGTAGCCCCCTAACACCCTAATCTGATCATAAATCCTGAGTAGGGTTTAGGGTTTAGGGTTTAGGGTTTAGGGTTTAGGGTTTAGGGTTTAGGGTTTAGGGTTTAGGGGCACGCAGCAACAGTGGTGGATACCCAGTAGCTTACTTTCTTACTTTCGGGTGTACAGTGTAAACTCACTCCCATGCTGTTCACCAACAGTTGAGAGTGTGAGATTTTCGGCGTTTGGGATGTGGCCGAGAGCTTATTTGGCGCACAGGCAGCTGTCGAGATGTATGGTGCCTGGGGTTTAGGGTTTATAGGGCTAGGGTCCAGGACTTCATGCGCTGCAGTCTTTTAAGTGTTGGACTGTGTCTCGCCTTCTTTTGCATGCACTTTTTGAGGCAAGTATGTAACTAAACCATAACAAGGAACTTCGAAACCTAAACCCTAAACTAGCCCAGTTCTCTTTTCAACTTTTCAGGCCCCGGGCTGGTGAACCCGAAGAGTCTAATTCAATCTGCAGCAGAGTCCCGCAAACCTCTGGGTAGGAATTCTCTAAACTAGGGTCCCTTTTGGGCTCCTTTGTATAAGGGTGCCGTAGTACCCTAATTTAGAGAACTACCCATCTAATTTGGAAACCTGACCCTGGCTGCAGACGGAGAGCGAGACCCAAACCTGTCAAACCCTAGAACCTTAAGCCTAGAATCTCAAACTCCTAGAACTCGAAGCTCTACAACGGCAAACTCCGAAAGAAAGGCGTAGGTTTGAGGGTTTTAGGAGGTTTGGGGGTTGCTTAAGGCTTGTATTGTCGCTAATGTTTACGGCTCACATTCTTTATATCGTGTTTAGTGAAAGTGCATAGGCTTGATGAGGTTTAATTCGAAGATGTATAAGGTTTATGGCTTAGCATAGTTCAGGGTCTGTGGAGTCCCGAAAGAAGAACCCGACGAAGGCACCTCTCGTAGCAGAACGAGACGGCCACCATCGCCCCAGACGTCGCGGGACACGGACCCCAAATGACACCTGCCAATGTCGGAGTCGGAGACCGAACATTAGGAGCCTGAAATGAGTGGCTGCACTGGATTATAACACCCCCAGCCCCCCTATTCTTATCCATTCAGGCTCCGAGAGCTCATACTGAAGGATCTTCAGCCCTATCCCCAAACCCCTATCTCTAAACCCTAAGCCCTAAACCCTAAACCCTAAACCCTCTCCTTCTTATGTATATTTAAACCCTAATGGGGTTCGTGGGCATTGAAAAAAAATGGCCCGTTTTTTTCAAATGCCCACGAAGCCCGGCCCGTTTTTTTCCAAATGCCCACGAAGCCCGGCCCGTTTTTTTCAAATGCCCACGAAGCCTCGCCCGTTTTTTTCAAATGCCCACGAACG